ATGTACAACCTCACAAAGCTGCTAGAACAGCCGTAGACTTAGTCTTGTTTATCTTGTGCACCAAGATTTAAAAAGTATAATCTTTCAGGGCTTTAAATTACAGATTTAAGTATGCATACAACATTGTTGGATGTAATAAGTATGTAAACACTGTGGTCCCTACACTATTAAAGCCCACAATTATCTGTTCTTTGTCTTTCCCCTTGAAACAACCCATTGAGAAAACACTTTCTACACAATATAAAAGACATCAAAAGAATGAGAAATAGCAGCCAGACTTTCAATAATTTTCTCCCTTAGAAAACATTTGCTGTCTTCTTCAAAACTGGCCTTTTGTTGTCAACAACCTTTTGTATTCTATATTTTATTAATCACCCGTTAAGGTATATTACCACCATCAAATATAGTCACCTACAGCCACTGCATTTAAAGGAAATGTATATCAACTGATGAATGTATTCGTGATGCGCATATGCATCCTTGTGTACACTGATAAAATGCAGGATACGCACAATGCAAATATTGCTCTATAGTGTCACAAGTTGTCAAAAATGGCAGGTATAGGTGAGATAAAGCATTTACACATTTGTAAAAGTCGTATTACTGACTGTATTAATGTATGTAATGTATGCAGCAGTAGTTGCATATGATACCAAACCCAACCCAAACCTAAATTTCTGAGCAACAGGGATCCCACAATGTGTTAATTTCTTCACCAACCAATATCAAGCCCCTTATCTTTTCAGTTGATTGTTAATTGCTTAATGTTCAAATTAGGGTCAACAATCCCTTTCAGCAGCAAGTTGATGATGGTTGTGAAATTCATTAAATTATTCAGTGTTCATGAATCTGTGAAATAACAAATAGAGTAAAACAATTTCATGTCATCAGTCCCCTGCATTTTTTTATTGTGAACATTCTGTCACCACAGATTCTTCTTCAGTGGTGGAATGTAATTGTGTAACTATAGCTGTAACTGACATTTCAGATGTCTGAGTTGTTACCAGCTCCACTAAACAGTGATCCCACCTCTAAACTTCTCAGACAGTTTGAAGGCAAAAGCGCTAAAATTATTCAGTAATTCACAAACACATGTTTTATAGAAAGGTTAAAAATGTTCACAGATTTGCATAGCAGAATCTGGTTCTTCTGTCTTTTCCCTCCTGTCTTACAACCCCCTAGATATATATTTATATTGTGACCCACTGGGGGGGATTAGACCTTGCAGACCCCTACCAAACTAAATAATAAAGTAGTTAAAAGTAGCTCCACCTCAATGAGCTACAACAGTAAGATGCTACACACATTGAGGCATCAATATTAACAATCTATCTTGTATGTCCTTTTTTCTTTTTTTGAAATCTAAATACTTCTTCCACCACTGTTCTTCCTAAATGTGTAGCTTTCCTTATGACGTAATGAACTAAACCTGCTACATATCTTCATTAATATTCTCATTCTGATTTGTCCAGATGGATCTCAGAGGAATGGGAGCATTGTACCAAAACTTGTGGCAGCCTGGGCTTTCAGATCCGGACTGTTCGCTGCGTGCAGTTTCTCCACGATGGCACCAACCGCTCCGTCCACAGCAAGTACTGCAGTGGGGAGAAGCCAGAGAGCCGGAGGCCCTGCAACAGAATCTCATGTCCTGCCCAGTGGAGGAGTGGAGCGTGGTCAGAGGTTCAGTATTCAAAAGATTTTCTTTTAAACTCTGGACTTCTTCTCAAGCCACAGATCCATCTGATTGATTTTATATTTTGATTTTATAACTTGTTTCCAATTAACTAATGTCAGCTTACTAACAGTTCACCTTTTTGCTGTAGTATTGTGTCGGTGCAGCTGTAGCTTTAACATGCCTGACATGACTGTGATTTCTTAACGTGACAAGACCATGTATAAAAATAAAACATGAGGCATCTGATATTTAATTTAAAGAAATGTCACATCTCATCTGAAAACACAGCAATTTTACTTTCTCCGTTTCCTTCATCTAAATGAGACCTTTGAAACCATCAGAAAGTCCAATAAATCAGACATTCAGCTGAGTGGTGAAGAAGTAGATAAGAGCTAATAAGATGCAGTTCTTCATGTCAGCAGTTAATTTATGTGAGCTGATTTAGCTGCTTTTGATAGCATGGTCTATAGATCTTTATTGTATGCATGTATATATGCACATTTGAGCTTGTAGTGATAGTAAACTAACATTTGTTTTTATCTATGTTGTTAAATTGTCTTGTAATTTATTTGTGAGTTAATAGCAGATGTGTTTCTTTTCTAGGGTTTTAGCTTTATTTATTTATCTCAGATGGGAGTTAGTCAACATTTTACCATTTGAAGATTACTAAGTGCTGTTTCACAACCAGTTCACTTAACATTTCCATTGAGGAGATTTGAAATACAGCTGTTTGTCAGTGCTGTTTTACTCAGGAGGAAACAGATTTCAGACTAATTGTCTCTCTGACCTTTTCATTCAGTCATAGTCAGTGCTTTAAAGCCCAGCTAAGGTCATATCAAGAAAAAGATCCACCAAAGATTAAGGATCCCTTACATCCTGTAGTACAGGATGCTGTAACCTGTTAACAAGGTCCTACAATGCACACGCACTGCTCACACAGACTTCAGCAATTTGCTTTTGGCCAATACTTGGCACTAAAGCAAAATTATAAGTTTAAATCCGCTGAGTGGTCATGCGGCTGACTAACTTAAAATTTGGCACAACTCCTCTTTGTTCTCTTAAACTGAATTTGGGCTATCATTATGTGTGTTTTGAAGCTGCCAGAGGGAAACACAAAATAAAAACGGGTTGTGCTGTGGCCATGTCATACTCCAGTATATCAGGCATATATATCACACCGCGCAGATTTCATGGAAATCACATGATTATTGCCATTTGAGGCTTACTTCCTGTATGTATGATATATAATATTTGCATGTAGATATGTTCAGGTCAGGACTCTATTAACAGTTTGGTGCAGATTAGATAATGCACACTGAAGTTATAACAACATCGTGTTCCATGGCTAAATGTAAATTTTCGACATTACACCATGCACATGCCTTTTGATTATGGACCTATTTAGAGTCTACACAAAAAAACTTACAGAGAAATACAGTCTAAAAATTATTAAAAAAGAGTCTCCATGCTGATGTTTTTGACAGGTGAACTGTGTAGCGAAACATTTTGTTTCTTGGTGGAGATTAAACTTCAGCCACCCAGTTATCCTGATATTTACTGTCGCCTGTGTGACCTGCCTCCACTCCTTTCCGCTCTGCCTCTATGCTCTATGTTCCTTTGCTGTTTGTGAGTGAGTTGCTGTGTGTGCTCTTTCACAGTGCTCTGTGACCTGTGGAGAAGGGATGGAAAGGCGTCTGGTCACTTGCCGGATTGGAGATCAATGTAGCGGAGAAAAACCCGAAACTGTGAGACCCTGCAGACCAGGACCCTGCCATGGTAAGCATGTTATTTCTTAAGAACTTCTAGAAATTCTAGCCAAACACTCAACATTTTCATTATCAGCACTATCAACATAACAGCACATTTGGCCTTGCCTTGTTTAGAATAAAAGCCAGTAACCCACATAGAAAAATTGTTCTGGCCTATAGACTCAGCCCAAATACAGCAATGAATTACAGCCCATATGTGGGCTAGACCTGGTAGCCACATGTGGCCCATGACATAGCCAAATCTTAGCCGACTGTTTGATACTGTTTTTGCCCTATGTTGGACAAGACTCAGTTTCAATCAATCTTTTGCTATTTATCCAAATAAGGCCAGGGTGAGCTTGTAACAGTGCAGAGTGGAGGTCTGGGTGGGTTTGGGAAGCCCATTAGGGGGGGTCACCAAAGCTTCATTGGTCTTCTTGATTTTAAGAAGATTTTAAAAATAGGCCCATATCTCTGCATTTGGTTTATTTCTGTGAAGAAATGTAAATGTTAAGTAAATTGTCTAATACAACGATGGCCAAGCATCAGGGACAAGAAAACACTGAATTTGTCAAAAAAAGAAGCTTAGTTAAGGAAAAAGGTTGGAAACCACTGCCTTAAACAGCCTACGTCGTTCTTCAACAGTCTTTCCCAGCATTCATTTTAATAAGAGCCTCTTCTATTCATAGTGTCAGTTAAAGCATGTCACTCTTAAATGTCGACGTATGCCAGTTACTATTTTCAATGCTTTTCCTTCATCCAAATGTTTAAAAGAGTCTCTGAGGATTCTGTATATACCAACAACAGGAACTCTAAACAACCTAAACATTGCAAGGTACTTATCGTTGCTTATTAATGTTACTCGAATGTATGTGCATTATATGTACATACGTATAGATATGTATGGATCTGGGACACAGTTCTCGTCTAAGCAGACTTCAGTAGAATGAGCATCATTCTGCTGAATGTGCTGTGGCTGAAGTGTTCTACAGTTTCCCTGTGGCATAAACACTTAGCAATACCTTAGTACTTTTTCCACGGCCACCTCTCATGACTTTTCAGCACTGTGTGAAATGCACTGAGCTCACACTGTATGCTCTTCAACTTTCAGATGAGCCATGTAATGGAGACAAATCCATCTTCTGCCAAATGGAGGTCTTAGCACGATACTGCTCCATTCCAGGCTACAACAAACTATGCTGCGACTCCTGCAGCAAGCGCAGCGGAGCTCTGTCTCTGTTTTCAGAGGCGGCTGAGACGGAGGAGCATGTTCGCTTTGGATCAGCATCCCAGCTGCTAGAGACATTAACGGCCTCTGTAGCAGCCAACGGCACTCGCAGTGGTAAACAAGGCTCAGGCAAAGGATCCACAGGCAATGCTGCAAAACATGTTACCACCCCTGCCCCGCTTAAGAAAACCCAATCAAAGATCACTGCAGCACCAAGGCGGGTTCCCCGACACATGGGTCTCAGTGGCAGGAATCTGCCCGCTCTGGCACCATCCCCCCTGGTGGATCCTACTGAGGGTCAAAGGTTGAGCAGCTTGACAGATAGTCGGCCTATAGCATATTCCGAAGTGGAGAGATGAAAGTGACGTCCTTCCCCTTCAGGACTCGTAGATAATCCAGCTTCATCCTGAGTCTTCTTACGCCAAAAAACACCACAGAGAGAAACAGAGAAATAAATTAAAGTGCTGGTTCACTTTGTTGTTAAGAATTTCCCTTCCCTTTTGCCCCTGAAATTGACTTCTAATATGACTTGGACATCTTCTGGAGAGCTTCCAGAGTATTTGGACTTAAACAGCCATGTTGCTTTGCTTTCACACTTTATATTAAGAGGAGACAATAATAAAATAATTTAGAGGTCCGAAGGGAATTTTTAGGTGTCTGCATGTCCCCTCTGATTAGTCTTTTCTCTGGTCTGGTCATTTAATGAACCAGGCCCCTGGTGTCTGCAGAGTGTCACAGCGGGTCCTCCGGCAAACGCTCAGCAGACAGCGAGAGAGAAAATGTCAACATGTGTGTCATTATAGCTCATTCAATTTGAAAATTCATGCAGTTTTTAATCCTGATACAGCTGAAAATCCCTTTTTACTTGAATGTTACAAATTGCCATTTTTCTTGCCAAAAAATGAAAGCTTGACCCATGGAGTCATATAGAGTCCCAGTACTTGAGGAGTCACTGCATATACAAAATCAAACACCGGACTTTATATGGACACATATGGAAAGTGGCCAGAGATAAACCAGTGAAAACCATTAGAAAAAATGGTTTTAGTTGTATACATTTTTTTATATCCAGCAATGTCTGTTTATTGGCACTCTACAGTTTCTATGGAAATGGGTATTTATAAAGGTTCCTGTAAATACTGTACATGAAAATACCAGTATTATTTTAATAAGCTGAGGATACTTTCAAAGACCCTTTTAATCAATTAAATAACAAACATTATTCCTAATGTTTACTTTGTCAGCAGCAATGTACATTTACAGTGCACTGTTCCACTCTAAAGGCTGGTGCTAGGTTTAGCTCATAAAGGTGTAGTTTGTCCTTTTAAGAAATACACTTATTTGCAGAGAGTTAGATAAGACGATTGATACAACTTTCATACCTGTACTGTAAATATAAAGCTTCAGCCAGGAGAAAGTTAGCAAGTGTAGCAAATTTAGCAGGTAGAAACAGCTAGCCTGGTTAATAATTAGGATTACCAATACAGCTGAAGTTCACAAATTAATGTTATAACCTTTTTTGTTTAAACCATACAAAATTGTATAAAAAAATGAAAAAAACAAGACAAACAGATTTTGTTCCCAGAGTCAGGCTAGCTGTTCTGCCTGTTTCTAGTTGCTGCACTGTGCTAAGCTAACTGTTCCCTGGCTTTCATGTTTAATGTGCAGACATGAGAGTGGTATAATTCTTCAAGAACAAAAGCAAATAAACACATTTCCCTAAATGTGAAACTATTCCTTTAAGAAGCACCCTATACAAGTTATTTCATCCCAGCCTTTACCTTTTTCTAAAATCAAAAGTTTGTATGGTGCTAGCCATTGACCTTTTGGACTCTTTGTATTGCCCTCCTTGTCAAAGTGTTTGCTCAGAAAGGTTGAAGGTCAAAGAAGGGAACTGTTAGGGATGTGTTACGTGTCAAATTATATACAGCCAGCTCTTGTTCAGCTTGTACAGACTAAAACACGTGAAAATGTCACCATGCAACTGACATATGTTCTTCTGTTTTACTTTTAAGTGTCAATGAAATATGCAAAAACCCATCTTTAGATGTTAAGTGTTGGATTTGCAGATAATGTTTTATATTGACTATACTATCAATTTAAAAAACTTAAAGCTTCATTAAGCATTTTTTGACCACTAGGGGCAGAAAGACCCCAAAACAAACTCACAGTACCACAGTAAGGCCAATATTCACTCTCCTTTAAACTCTGTTTTGGTCTTTACCAACTCCTCTGGGGAATATCTGTCTCTTCAGCTGCAAGATATTCAACTTTCTTCACCAGCTAAACTACTTGTTTATGTTGTCTCTCTGCTGTTTGGTACTGGCTAAAATACACTCAGCTTTTTGATTTTATCTGGGGGAGTTGACAAGAGCCAAACTGATGTGCTATAAGCTGTGTAGTACAGAGTTGGGTGTTAATTCTCAGTGGGTTTAGCACTGTGAGTGATCCTTTCACATTACACAGAGTAATTTTGATCAATTTTAATATCAAAAATCTTGCTTAATGGAGCTTTAACTCAGGACATCCTTTCACATTTAGTCTGAACAAGGTTTTGTTGAACATTTTGCGTTTACAGGAACCAAGGCTAAATGTAAGCACAAGAAGCTGGACTTTCAAAAGAATATTACTGTATGTGGAACATGTTTTTCCAATGTATTTCCTAAATGGCTTTTTTGTGGTGGAAGAAGGTTCAGGAGAGAGAAAGCTATTTATTTATTTTTTTCAAGGATTTCCTCACAACCACCATGCATCTGACTGCAATAGCAAGGACACAGTTTTGTGTTTTAAGCAAAGAAATAGCTTGCAACTATTCACACTCACTCCTGTGTGCCAATGTATAGTACATGTATATAGCATTGAGTACATAAATATTTATTGAAAGTTAAAGGGTTCTGCTATTGTTTTTACAGTATGTGCAGTGCCAGCTGGTCAATAAGCTGCAGCAGATAAACCATTGAAAACTAATCACATTCATGACAGCCTTTTTTTCAGCCACATTTAAACATTTTAAAGAGATTTTTACTTAAAAAAACATGATAGACTAGAAATTACATTGTTTTTTGCAAACAGTTAGATGTAAATATACATGCTCAATTTTGAGATGTTTTACTTGTCAGAAAGCTGACTTTTCTCAGCTGTTTTGTAGAAGTTGTTAACAGAGCTGTTACATCACAGCGACATGTACTGACCAAAAAAATGCTTTATTTTAACTAATAAAACATAAATAGTGTAGTACCAATAAACCAGTAAAGTTTTTTTTTATACTGTTTGTAGTTGTCAGTATTGTCTAACCATTTTACATTTCCCTCCCCTGTTCTTTTCACACCCTTTACTTGCTGCCTATACAACATTGCTGCTAATGTTATACAGAGCTTGTAATGATAAATAGGGTAGTTGTAGATGTTACATTGACAATCCCTGAGCCTCAGACAGATATTACTGCATAGGATTCTCCATGTACTGTATCAATACCCCTGTGCTATCCGTGCATTGAAGAATTATGATTGTCAGTCACTCTCTGCTCTATTCGCTTTTCTATGTATTTGTGTAGATTGAAGTGTACACTACTGATGCTGTTTGTTGTAATGGGGAGCACATAGCAATAAAAGATATGATTAACTACTCTGATGTTATGCTTTCAAGCTTTCTCCACCATCATTAATGCATCTGTGAGGTTCAATATTGTATTATATATATATAAGTTAAGTTGGATTTTTATAGCAAAAAATAAAAACTCCTCTCAAGGCTGTGCAATCTGTAACAAAAAACAAAAAAACAGCTAAATAGATTTCTGGTATTTAGATGGCCTCCTTTCTGAAGTTCCACACCATAGTCCCAACCAGCACCCCTAAAGCTCACTAATTAACATGTTGGATCTCTTTTGTTTAATCTGTACTCAAACAGAAATGTAAAAAATTTTATGGTTTTACAGATTGTTACTTGCTACAACTATTTTTTAGCAAACACCAGCTGGGCACAGTGACTTCCTGGAGTCTCCACTGGATGTTTGGCAACCTCACGCTGAAGACACTAGGAACATTTAGCATGTTTTGTTTTGTATGGATTTTTTAGTGAGCTTTAGAGGTGTGTGAGGTAGGTGGTTATATACAGACTATTGCATACATTGATTTACTTGCGGTGACCACACTATCAACACTGACAGCCACATATTGATTGCCAATGTATTTTATTATATAGCTCATTAGAGGAATAAGAAACATCAGGCTTTAGATTAGGCAAAACTTGTTAGTAGGATCAGTTTATTGTCAGTTTTGTCTGGCCAACAAGGAAGAAAATATCGAATATTGCCACCCATATATTTTAAATAGAAAGACTTAACGTAGAAATTACAGATGTGCAAAAAATGTTACTCATATCTGTGAAGATGACCTGTAAATCAAACTTGATGGTAGTGTTGTGACACCTTCCTTGGATTGTCTAATTTATAATCTTCTGAAACTGAGAAAAGACAAAGCAGTAAAATATGTAATGAAGTCACTGTGCTTTAATCATGTTTTGTCATGTATGTCAACAGTGGTTAGTAGTAAAACAGTAATTTATATGAAAATGTCATGCAGAATTGTGGAGACCTGTATAGTGACAGAGCTATCATGCCCTTCCAGAACCAGGTTACAAACTGAAGAGAAAGTCTCTGTTAAATCTAATTTACTGTTTGAGCTTGGATTATTGATTGCTAAGAAAATTAATTAAAAAAAGTCTGTCATATGTCAGAACAACTTACACTACGGGGTTATCTATTAGTATTTGTGTGCAGCTTATTATTTTCTTCCCCAGCGCTTCTTGCGTCATTGGCAGTCTTTACAGAAATGCAGTTGCATTTGAGGACAACATGCAGTGAAAATGTGACATGTTTCTTTTTACAGCAGAACAAAACTAAATGTTTTATTTTGTGCCAAAAAAGGGGACCAAGCATCATGTTTGGTTTTTTGCACCACACTGACTAAAATTGTGGGTTGAATAGTTATTCAATTAAAATAATTTATCATTACACGTAATTACAATAATTTCTTCCTTTTCTTTCCTCAGTCACCTACTCCAAAATTATGACATTTTCTGCACTAATCACATCTCTGACTGAATAAGTTCATTGATTAACAATCAATAATTACGGTCGGTAGGGCTTATTAACATTTAGACTCTCATACATGATTTGCACTTTCTGTGGCTCACAGACACATTTCATTGTGTCATTTCATCGTTTTTGGTAAGTGCAAATTTAAGTGAAAGGTTTTCATTATCTGACACACAATAGGCCCTGTAGATGCATACTTTAATTTAGACAGTATATTTCAAACTTTGTGGCACCCTTTTCAACACATTTGTGATGATCTTGAACACTGACTGAAAGCCAGACCTTACTGCACAACATCAGTGGCCAACCTTGCTGGTTTTTAATAACTTATTTCATATTTTATTTTGATAGAGACAATTGCATAACATGGACTAATGTCACATACTAAAACATGTATAGCACAAGCTAGATGATCCTTTACACTAATATACACATATTAAACATAATATACTAGATGGCATTGCATAATCTTTAGCAACGTTTAATTGAAATAAAATGTGCACATCTACCATTAGTACACCTTTCTGCAGTATTCAATAAGTTGTCTGCACAGCATGATTCAGATTCTGGTTATTAAAATGCTGACAGCAGGAACAAAAGCTTAGTGTGCCTATACACAGTGAATATCTCCCTGGTATTAATATCCATTTACACTATATGAAATTATTTATATTGTAAGCCTCTAGAGGGGATATAGCTAATATGGACAACAATAATCCAATACTAGATTAGTCTGGTTCACTATTTCAACCTTTTAATAGGGATTTCGATTATTTCCAACTACGATGTAATTCTTTCGATCCAAACACTCTACTAGTTACTCGTATTGCTACAGATGGCTATTCTATTTTGACTCAGCTCAATGGGATTAGCTGCAAAATGGATTTCTTTAAGACATGATTAAAAGACCCCTTAAAATATCTGGGAAGTTTTTCCAAATACTAAAAAACTAGAATTCTAGCTATCATTCTCATTCTGCTCAGCAGTGAATCTTTTTGAGAAGTTGAGGAGACATGAGCAACACTTCAAAAACGTCTCCACAGATAATAATAAAACCCCAGAAAAACCAAGGTACCAAGGCTGGAGACATCAGTGGATGTAAACCTCTGAGCTCTCTTGAGAAATGGGATGAGACAGAGGCACCACAAACACAGGAGCAGAAAGAATCGAGGATGACACAATGCTGGTGCAGTCAGCAGTCAGCAGTCACTCTACTCAGGAAAACACAGGAAACGTGTGGGGGATGGGGGTTATATATAGAAATATACAAGAACTGCTTTTTTTTCATGTTTTCTCATTTTTCCTTCTAGTGTAATTATGTTACATGCAGGGCAATATTTTTAATGAGCAACCAGTACGGCATCATATGACTTACTCTCATTGTGTTGCTTTTCCTAAGGCACTCAGAGCTCAGGCATTTGACACTGAGCCAGTAGCCACTGTGCATGACTGATGAGGGCTTATCCTCTGAGCTGACACACTATAAACTACTTTGCACTTGGGTGGCTGCTTTTGGCAATGCTGCAGAAACATGACGTAAGCCTACTGTAGAAAAGCCACAAGCCTGCGCCGACGTTTGACTTTCTTACATCTTGACCTTCAATTCAATAACCGCTCCAGGCCCAAATTATCTGATATTTCCCAAAACGCAAACGCACAACATCAGTCCATAGTTTCAATGAATATAAATTTGGGGAGCAGAAACTTTGCTCTTTCTTCTTTCCTCTCCCATTAATCATCTCATGACCTGAAGATTTATTCTACCACTGAGAAAAAGTATTACCCTGCCCACATACTTTTATCTACTTTTGGTCTGGAGCTGTTTTTTATGGTTTAGACCTCTTAGTCTCAATTAGGGAAAACTTTAATGCTACAGTATTGTAATATTTTAAACCAGTGGTTCCCAACCTTTTGGTTTGTGAGCCCAAAACAATGTCTACATGCAACCTTCTAGTAGTGGCCTGATGTAGAATTTGTTTCCTTGTTTTAGTTGAATAGTTTTATATGAAATTATTATCAATGGTATGATGGGAAGTATGAAAAAATAAGCATAACTTTGTGTTTTTTTCTGCTTTCCTCCTGTGGTAATCATTTTGCGACCCCTTTAATTTGTCCTTGTTTTAGATAATAGTGATAAATGAATGCCATTAATAGATAGCACTTCAATCCAAAGTGCTTTAAAGTCTTTCATTTCATTGGGTCCATTGTCCCTTTCAAGTATACTGAGACTTGTGTGGAGCCACAACAACAGAGGCATCAGATAGGGGAAGGCTATTTCCTGTTGCAACATGACACAAAGTCTAAAGGAATGTTTTTCTCAGTTGGGTGTTGAAGAACTTGCCCTGATCTCAACCCCATCCAACTACTTTTGGGATGAACTTTAACGCCAACTACATGACAAACGTTATCAAGGATGTGATCACCACAGGTATGAAGGGTACATTTGCCCTTCACTTTTTAAGACCCTACTTTTGACCATGTGATTGGTGGGGGTTGCAGGTGCTGTACTCAGTCCGACAGCAAGAATCTATTCAGGCTGGCCCTCACTAATGCTTTTGCAGCTAAATGAGAGCACATCCCTTTAGCCTGGGTGTAATGTTTGCAATTCAACATTCTTTTGGCTCTTTCTAAGCTCTTATGCAGTAGCTTATATTAAATATGCTCTTTAAAGCCCCTGAAAACTTGACTTCAAACAATAAACAACAATCAAAGTATATTATATTATATAAATATTCAGAAACTTCTGTGCAGTAAGAGCAGCATCTTAAAGTCTGCTCTTACAACGAACAAACTTTATCACAAGTGTTCACCTGAAACCAAGGACATGTACAAGAGCTGTGTCAAAGAAGAAAAACATTTAAGGGAGATTTTATGGTAGCTGTGGTGATGTCAGTGAACAGATGAATGTATTTGTATGAACAGCTTTTGCAGCCAAAGCAGCAGTCCATCCCAGTGGCAAGCAGCCAAGTGGGCTCAATCTGTGTGAACGTTTGCATGACAGTGTATCCAATTGTTGGAGCTCCTCTGAAATGAATGGGGGACAAGCTTGCCAAAATGTTTCAATGAGATGGCTCAGCTTGGAAGACACGCAAGGGATTTTTGACAAACTCTTGGTGGAACAATGAACGTTTCGTGCAGTGAAACATCTGTGTTTCGACTGATGACTGTTTGTCTTTTGTTAGCTGAGCATTGAACATGCTGACAGGTCCTTTTTGCTCTGAAAGTGGCATTCTCAATTGATGCTGGAGATGGGCCCATTTTTCCTAAAGCAAATAGAAATGTTGGTTATTATCTGTTCATGTAAGTTGAAAGACCTATGACGGGTGTATGTAAAAGTTTAAGTTTTTTCATTTTAAAAACCTGCTCATGTCCATGTAGAGCTTTGAAAACTTGAAAAGACATCTCCTCCAGATTATTCCCAATTCCAATCCCTTCCTGGAAGCCCAAAAGATTTACATTTACACCAGAATTCACCAGTAATCTTCACTAAGACCATCATGTGTTCACGCTCTGCTTG